GGTAGTCTTTTTAATTCTCAATCGTCGAAGGAAACCCCCGACCACACTATTTTGCATACTACTCATAAATGTGACTAGTACCTCACAACACAATCACTTCCTGTATGCTATCAGATGGCCTATCATCCTTTGATATATTTATATCCTGTCTAAACTGTAAGTCTACACAGTTTTTAGTGAATTGAACCATATGGTTATTGATCCTGCTCTACGGTGCAGAGACTTGACCTCTACGGGAACAGGATAAAATAGATTATCAGTGTTTGAACACCGCTGTCTACGTCGCATTGCACGAGTCTGGTGGGGCAGCCGGACGAGCAACGCTGAGGTTAGGCGTAGAGTTTTAGGTATTCGCGGTCGTCCACTGGAGCAAGCGGTCGACTTCAATGGATTACGCTGGTTGGGGCATGAGTTACGCATGTCGCCAGATAGGTTGCCACGACCAGCGACGTTTGCCAAGGCTGGAAGCGGATGGAAAAAGAGCAAGGGTGGTCAAACTAAGACCTGGCATGAGGGTATGAAAACCCTAACCAGGAGACTAGGTCACANCGGAATGATGGTCACCAATGGTTAGAGACACTGATTGATATGACTAGGTTTCGCAAACAGTGCATTCACTCATTATTTCCCTATCACTATTCTATATGAATTCTCCATCTTCCGCTTGAGTTTGCTTTTAACATTCCAATCTTCATTCTGCTCTTTTATCCAAATGTGGCATCAAAAGACAGCGACCAAAACCGGAGCACAAAAGTGCAAGGTTAATGGTTGTAAAAACTGAACTGATCCTCATCAGTTATTAATTGTTACTTTCCCACAAAAGGTAAGTAAACTGAATAGATTATTCATCAATTGACAAAGTACTATAAATCGGTTCTCGTAGCTCGGGTGAACAAAATTCCGTTTTGAGTGTTCGCCGAGCTTGGCAATTTCTTTGCAAACGTTTCATCACCAACCGAGGTGACATCGTCAGTGCTCCGCTTATGCCCGTTCGTTTATGTTTTTTCCACTAAATATTTCTATCCTTTGTTCCCACCGGGTTCGACTCGGTTCACCGTGGAACTGGTACGAGGGTTGTTATTCCGCCTCGATCACGGGCTTTGTCCGTTCTCAGGTCCTTCAGTTGCACTGGCGTGTACATGTGATGTAGTTCAATATGCCTCTTTACTAAGTTACTTGAAAACTACCAAGTCCTGAGAAATTCCCTGGCATTTTTTGACCCGGATTGGTCGAGATTTTCACTGATTCGAAGTCAAATTGACACCCTTCTTGATTTTCGCGGAGGAAAATCAACGATAGTGGGTCATGCCTCCTGAATGCCGATTGATGTTCATGGATCCTTGTTGATAGTTTTCCTTCAGTTTGTCGCATACAATGTTTTGGGTAGCTCTTACAGTTTATTTTGTAGATAACGTTGCTCTTGTCCTTCTCCATTGTTCTCTCCTTTGGTTTTGAAAGGAGTCTCCTTAGACAGGCGATCGGTTTGTAGCTGAATCGAATTACATATGATCCGAGCAGTCTTGTTGCTATTTCCGAAACGTTCTTGATGTATGGCAGGGTCGTTCTTGGTCCATAACAGCCCTGCCGGTAGTACCTGGATATTTGAAAGCTAGACGGGTCATCTCGAACAAAAAGACCTAAGGTTGCGGTGGGTAACGTTTGCAATCCTATCCCCAATAACCTTCATGGCCCAGTGTGACCTACGGAGCTGGTTTACCCCCCAGCAATCAACAGTTACGCAAAAGCAACTGCAAGGATAATGCCCTTGAATTTAGCACAGCTTTTCACAAACCGTCCTCATGCAGCATGTTCACTTGTTTTTGGCCATCTGGTTCGATCGTTTGATAACTGTTTACTTGCTTACTAACCGGTTTCGCCGTCCACCTCGCTTTCTCTGAACCACGAGACTGTGCTCAATTTCCGTGTTGATTAACTGCAATCGTTCACCGCAAACATTCTCTAACGGGTCACCCCTACTCGTCATACTTTATTGCTATTGTACACGCATTACGTTCTATTTCTCGTTTGCGTTTACTGCTTCGTTGGTACACTTCTAGTCGGAGTACGCTACACGCGCACGCCATTGATACTTCTTGCTCACGAATCTTTCCTTATATACACGCTTGGGTTCCCATCTACGTTACTCAACCACCAGCGTATATGGAATGAGAGAAAGAGAAATAGCAGCTCCAGATTAAGGATTGCCGTGCCCTCTCGAAACCGCTCTCCAGTTTTTGGTGTCACGAAACGCTCAACGGTGGCTTCGAGCTGCTCCACGCTAGAAAATTGGCATAGCCTGATGAACCGCTCGACATGTGGGCTAAACCAGGTTGAGGGTAGCTGAGACACGTAAACGCGTATCAACGAGACTACCATGCTGTCCTGCAGTTTACAATTGGTTCTGTTAACGCCGAATTACCGGTACGAAACTTCATAGTCTTGTAACTCTCTCAAGACTACCTGGAAAGTTTAAAACAGGTGACACGCTGAATTCGGACGTGGAACGCCCGCGGCCCAGAGTACGTCCGTGACAACTAATAATTTAAGCCTCATAATATGCAACAATGAACAATACAAGGAGAGGTATGGCTTTGAACCGGGCACTAGAGAATCTGTTTTCCTCCTTACTCATTATTTTCGCTTGATTCCAGAAACAAGAAAGCACCATGACAGTAATCGTGAAAGAAGGAGTGATGTCCGGAGCTATTTCAGCGCTGTGAGGCGATGTCTACAAGTGTAATGAAATAGTGCGAACGGACACCAACAATTTCTGTTGCTTTTATGTCGCTACAAAATGCTTTATCATAAAGAACACGTTCAGAAGCGGCAAAGCTTTTCCGTTTATTCATCTTTCAGCCTGTACAGATCGTAGAAGGAAGTGACGCGTTGAATAGGAGAGACATTCAGTCGCTCAAATATCACAGTGATTGGTTCGGAGAAGGATGTGAAGTGTGGTGCGACGTGTTTCACGACACTAGGTCACCAAAGCACTGCTAGTAGGTTGCGATCGCTGACCGAAACTACGAATGCTAGATGGATATGTAAAACGTTCGACCACACATGACCCCATTATTTGATGACCTTTGACCTAATCTAGCATCTTGTGACACGTCTCGTTTCTCCCACATGCCCATCGTGCAACACCCATTCTTATGCGCGTAGATGTGCCCAATTGCCAACCGTGTTCAAACAACTTATCATCTCATAGAACGAACGGCAAAGGGCTCCTGTGCAATTTTGATTAGATGTCCCTCCTTATAACTTACACTGCCCACGTACAAATCTCGCACTTCTCTGTCTAGTTGCTTGACGCGATTTCCATTCACGACGCTTCACTTCCCGCTGTTCGATCGATTATATCCTAAAAATTGGGTTGCCCCATAACCCGAAGTATCTAACATTTGTTCCCTTATTATCTCTCTTTAGTACATAGATAATCCAGCCTGATGCTCCTTTTTCCTGAACGTCTTCTACTAATCAGTCAATTACTGGACGTCAATTGGATAGAATAGTAATGCGCAACTTTCGCGCACATAATAGCATACACCCCCATGGAAAATATCAAACACAAACACCGTCACACGAGTATTTTGTTGTCAGCACCCTAGCGGAAAGAAAATTCAATCAACAGTTAGAGTAGCTATTTAGTTACTGTGCATCGAGTTACCCAAAATTCGTGGCTTCCGTGCGGAACACGCTCCAGTGAGCATATCTTTTCCTACTTCTGAAGGAAAAGTAGGCTCTCTTGTTCACTAATTCTTGTTCCCGATAACCTGAAATAAAGTTCGTCAGTTAACCGAACCATAAACAACCGCACCTAGTAAGATCAGGGGTTATGGATGCTAGTGTCCTTGGCACCAATAATCGATGAAGATGAGTTCACACCTCGAAATGCGTGGGTCCCTGTCATGTATCGATCCGACATCCGCTAGAACAGGTGAAACTCTAATATATACTGTGAACACATCTAGTAATTCAAACCAAACCAGAACATTTGAGGTATGTGAGAGTAGTTGGATAGCTCACTCTTCGAAAAATCGCTAGTGAACCTTCCCAGAGCGGAAGTTGTTTCAGCCAGTTGTCATGCAAATAGCGAACCAAGGTTTATCTCAAGAGACCGTGCTCACATATAACGGAAAAGACTACACTAGACCACCTAATTGATGGTTCATTACATTGCGGACTGCACATACTTTACCAAGTTCTAGTTTCACATGTTTTTTGCTCAAATCAAGTTAGTTGAATAGCATTTTGCAGATTTGCAGATGATAACCGATCAAAATATTAACCTTATTTACCATCATTTTAATGGCACTATCTCCATGATGGTGGTATCATAACACGATGAGAACATAGTTCAGTAAATCGTAAAACATTTCCATTGAGGCATGACAACAAAGTGGATGCGCGAAATATTTTTTCGATACATCAAATCAGGCACTTACATGTATAGTTCAGTTATTCAATAGATTAACATACGGCCTAGGTTGATGCTGAATAAATGCGTGTGCCCGTGAAGATTCGCGAGAAAGATATTGGGCTACATTTCCCAATTGCCTGGGTCCTAAATGACAGTCCAAAAAGCAATCCATTTTATTCGTAAGTGTTATACTCTCAGTTAGCACAGATCAAAATGGGGATGGAGTACGAAGTCATACCTATAGAACCGTTCAGAGGTTGTTTTGCTACTGTTTAGCTTACAGTAGAAGGCAAGCAACTTATCTTACGCTAATTTTCCAGGTACACCTCTAGCCTCTGGTTGAGAGTTCTAGGAAGGAGGATTATCCCAGACAATTCGATTACCGAGTCCATGTATTCAAGTTTAACCTACTTCGTGTCACCGTTTCGGGTCTAGGTGTTAACAAGCTAGCCATGATCGTCACACAATCTCAAGCTGTTAAAAAGTGGTTCAGCAGAGAAATCAGAATTCACCCTTATTTGGCTGGTGCCCTGGATATCTGATGCATCAAGTGTATACTGTTACTGATCGATCATGTGTGTTAATTTACTGGTTGGTCATATGACTGTAATTCTTCACTACGTAATCGCATGTGACGACTTAGAGAGCAAACAGCCAGAACCCGAGCTGCCGGTGAAAGATAAACTGCATTGTAGGCAGCCACATAACGGATACGACTATCAGTAAACAATTGAACAATGGAATGTATCTGTTTGAGAAAACCGAGTCAGAAATGCGGAGAGAAAAGTTCAGGTAGAATACTTTCAATCGACCGGTCGAAAGCAATTACCATGCCACTACACGTCACGTTCCTCAAAAATTGTTTTTTTACTTGTCAGCAAACAAGGACTGTAGTCTAGTCTTTTCAACAATAAAATCGGATGCATGTACAAATGATTTCTGAACAGGCGATGAACAAACGCGCATTACAGAGCGAAGGGAGAGAAGGACGAACGATGTGCAGATGGGAGGGAAACAGAAGATATTTGACGAAAGGCGCGATTCTTTCAATTTCGCAGGACTCAAGAGACCCCAGGGGAAAGAATAACAAGTCGTATACTATCCTTGGCGTTTGTGGATAACGGTTGATAAGTGATGTGCGATAAGGAGCTAGTGGAAGCGCAAGGTGCGCACCACTGCGGGTTTCGGGGAAAGGTGGTAGTGCGGTTTTCAGGTGACTGTACAATCGTTCATGCATCTTTCAGATCATTAGTGCATAAGCTTTATACACATTTACGTACAAATGAATATCAAAGAGAACAACAAAATTCGCGTAGAAACCGGGATGGACTGACAGGAGGTGAAAAAACATTGGCCGAAAAACGTGAACCGATGCTGGTTGGTATCTGGATCGAGTGGCGAACGAGCAGGAATGAGAAAAGGATTGTTGTGTGAGTGGGATGAAGAGGATAAGCAATTTGGAACCATCGGAGTGGAAAACATGTTTTTCAAATTCACATTGGAAAACAATTTCCAGGGGAGGTGCGACACCAAAAACCATCATTCAGGGGATGTCACAAGAGGCTCCAACACGAGTCAGATGAGGTCGGAAAACAATGAACGGAATCGCCAAACCTACTGTCAAAATGAGCGGAGCTGTGATAGCAGCCGACATGTACAATCGCAACGACAAATAGACTACGGAACGGGAAGAAACACCATCTCTTGGTAATGATGATAAAACAATAATGTTCACAACAGATTCGTCTCACTCTGAAAAAAATGATATGATGAGACGACAACTTCGAGAATAGATGTTTACCTGCAGGTTATGAGGATGAGGAGTAAAGGATGTTCAAGGGAGGAGACTCAAAGGAAGCTTAATAAAACAAGTGAGTCGTGGCGGGAAAAGTACAAATAATGGACGAGGAAAGGCCGTAGGGATAGAAATGCGTCCTGTGCCAGAGTGGGGAGAGTGAGACAACTAGTGTCGCAATAAGTGTTTATCGTCGACTTACATGTTTTCGGCGCACACGACCACGTCGCACATCCACTACCAGGTTGACGCGCGAGTGTCGTGAAGGGGACCATCGGTCATCAGAAGACATCGAGTCCACGGAATCGTCATCATCGTCCTCGTCTATGTCCACTTCGCTTTCGCTCTCCGGATCTTCGTGAGATGCTTCGTCCGAAGCAGAGACACAGGACATCTCAGAACTAAAGCAAGAACCGCGAGAGGATTCACTATCGTCCGTCAAACGCGTGGCAGAACCACGCCGACTGGAAGCTGGACGGTTTCGCTTTCGATTGGAAACGTTAGCTGTACGATTACTGTCAGAAGTGCCGCGACGTGAGGTGGAGCCACCCCGAGGCATGGATGATAAGTTCCCCCGAGTGGTTGATTTTCGGGCTCGACCATGGGATACATTTGTCGGACCAGATGAAGTAGCCGGCTCTGAATTCGTGGCTTCAGTGACCGGACCAGGTGGACGAGTGGCACGCTGCTGCAGTAAACGATTGAGTGCAGTTGTTTGGGCTTTTTTCAGTAAAGGACGTACATGACGTCCCGATCCCGTAGTGTGTGATTCGGTCACGGATGAAGAGGGTAGATAGGAGGATGAAGTGACAGGCAAATGACGAGAACCATCCAACGAAAACGCGGGTTCGTCTGGAACGAACATGCGAACAAAAAAAGTGTGAACGAAAACTGACTGTGTGAGGAGCTCTACAGATCCTTAAACAAAACAATTATCTGAATTGGAACGCGTAAAAATTGGGCTTGAAATAGTACCTTGCATCTGTGGGTTTAGTTCAGTTTCAGCAAACGATAACTCTACTTCGTAACTGTTCTCTGGTTACCATCCGGGAGACTAATAACTAAAGGAATCAAATTAAACGTGAAGTCCGGACCAATTTATCTAGGATAAGATAATACATGTGAGCTAATTAGATGTGCACAGAAAGTCAATAGAGGAACCAACGTTGTTGATGAGTGGAACCGAAGGTGCATTCGGCGATATGCATCCCCTAAAACCGAGTTCCCTCTCGTTTTCCTTTTCAGGATTCACCCGGCGCCCCAACAACCCAGGAACGTTCTGTAAACGGTGACTGGCATTCACCCCCTTGTTTAAAGTTACTTATTCATTAAAATCTTCATTAAATCTTGTTTAGGTATTCACGTTGTGGCTAAAACAAACCTGATTCTATTGTTACTTGTTCATTGCCGGCGAAACTAGAACACCATGTTACCGTCCGACGAAAGCTCTGACGAAATTTGGTGCTAGATAAGAACAGCCGGTTATCTGCGCAGAACATAAGTAGTCGATCACCGTTGTCTGTCCGCTTAGTGGGAAGAGCGAAACGCCCTACTGGATAGGCTTCCAGTGCGATCACTTTTCCAAACTGCGCGTTGAAATCAACTGCAAACACCATAAAATCAGAGCTATGACTCAATAGGATGAGCTCGGTGATTTTGTCGTAAAATTCGTCCGATTGTGAATTGGGACTACATTTGATTAGCACATATGCCGCACACCGGTAAACCATGGAGCCACATTGCGCACAAACGAATGTTTACGGATATCCAATCAACAGTGAGGCCTCAACTTTACCGCCTAGTACGAATCCTACAACTTGCTAACCCAAACAGCGGGCTTCATCGACCCCGGATGAAGGAGGGGAGTACTGCGAGGACAGACCCGGTGCACTCAGGTGGCTTATACTACTAGGATCCCGAATTCGTGTCTCCGATACTGAACAGATATCGATTTACGAAGAGTCCATTGTACGCGCGNGACACAGTTGTTGACCAACTTGAATCAAAGTCCTCATGATGAAAGCCACCAAACTGAGAGGCTGACGAGGCTTCAGAATACGTATTTTATTTAGTGGTAAACTACTTAAAGTGCTATTTGGCAACGACCTTTGGCGAATGGCAAACAAGTCGCCTGATGGAAAGTTATGTCGAAAGAATGGGCAAAAGATGAGGGTTGGGTATAGAACCCAAAGAGTTGAACAAATGTTGGGATGTCTGAGCAGTAGCTCACTTATCCCTAACCACCTCGCTCCATGCAATAGACAGCGCAGTCCTTATTATCCTGCGCAACGACGATACATTGTTGAATTTCGTTGTGGGCGTTCTCTGCAGCTTTATGAACGGGTACTGCTAGGGTGTCCAGCCACTCAAAAAAGCCTTAAGGTAGTGGGCATGGCGGAGTAGAGGCCCTTAGCTGGAATTCATTACTCCCCCAGCATTTTTACTGACTGAGACGCCACAATAGTCGAATCCCCAACCTGGAGAATGGACTTTGTCTGACCTCTACCCACTGACCTTGCAGGCATGATTTAAGCCACCTGTTCGACTCAACAAAAACCATCCTATATAGCTCGTTGGGTCGGAGAGATTCACAAGCGGTCACACCACGTCAAGGTGCACATCCATAGTTTTTCTCACCAAACCCACCTTCTGAGGTAAAAAATCCGTGTAGAGATCCAAGCCTTGGGACGTCACAAAATGTCGGGCTGTGACAGCCTTCTCCCAACTCTATTTAAAGATAGAGAGATGAAGCTTATTTGAGAATTCCAAGTTCTGATCACATCCACTAAAGCGAAAGCTAAAGCAGCCATTGCCAACCTGCAACACCTGCGGCACCGCCGTGATATCCAACTGTCACTTAAGGGAAGGGTGTGCATCGTGACAGTTCGTAGTGTTGTACTTTACGGTTGCTAGACCTGGCCGCTCCGCTTGGAGGATCCTAATAGACTTGTGTATTTGACCGCCGATTCCTTCGCCGTATTGCTCGCATCTGGTTGAAATATCGCGTGAACGATGACGAAACTCGTCGTTGTCTGTTGGGTATCGAAAAACATTCTCTAGATGAAGTAATCGTTTTACACCGCCTCCAATGGCTTGGTCACGTTTTACGTATGCCCGCCAGTTCACCTTACCGTACGTTTTGTGCACGTCCTAGACAAGACTGGAGAAAGCCTATCGGACCATTGTCTTACCTTACGTTCTACACAATTTATGCGTTTGATTCCAACTAAGTTCCAGATGCACACTCTGGTGATATGGTACCCCTGATTGTATTTAGCACACACATCTTGCATGTACAACAGACAGGACGAATCCCATAGTCGCGCAGACCGGTTATTAAGTGATGGAAACCGGTAACCTACGCTCCGGAACGTGGAGTGGCGAACAAAACATGGCTTCATTAGGATAGGCGTAGATTATTATCCCTGAAAAGACTGTTGTTTCTCAGCCAATGTTTAGTTTTAGTTTAAACAGCCAGTACCGATAAACTTTTGTATACAGGTCTTGCCTCCTGTCTTTCAGTTGACCATTTGGATAAGAGAGCAGAGGGAAAAGGGGAATGTTAAGGGCAGAGTCAATAAGATGCTGCAGAATTCATATCAACTGGGGAACCAGAACGGGCGCATGCATGAGTGACACTGTCTGTGACATCTAGTTACGACACTCGGTTTTTCAAACCACCGATTACCATGATCCCGCGATCGTTTAGGACGGATGAATATGAATCAGTCTGTCGCCAGACTCCTTAATTACCTAATTCTCATCTACTTTGCTTGAACCTGTACTCCTAATTACACAAAAAAGACTGCGACTATTACCGATAACCGCATCCCTCTTCATAGTTCTACACTTCACTATACACTAATTCCCGCGGGTACTCCTTAGACTTGATGAGCTGACGTTTAAGGGATTTGAACGCCTTGTCGTATTTCGCATCAGGAGTGGCCTAGCGAGCGCCCCACAGGGCAGCCGAGATGGAGGAAATTCATCATTACTGTTTCGATCGTGCGCCAGAATCAGCTATTGTTGTGGCTGACATTTGGAATACTTTTTTTTATTACCGTCCTTCGTTCACTGAGAAATTCCGTTGATGATTGAGCTGAAAGCGCGATCAGAGAGTTCCGCTTCGAAGGATGATTATCAATTATCGCTGACAGTATTGTGGGTCTCTGTTTCCAGTAACTTTTCTGAGGTTGTTCACCAGAAGAAGGGAGAATCCGTCTCATAGCAGAACATAGTCCGTGCCCACGGGTTGACCAGTAAGAGCGGCAATTTTCAATGAATCCTCGCCAGCGGTATCTGATGGCGTTGTGACCGACTTGAGCCCAACGCTATGAAGAGTTTGGCAATTTCCCTATAAATCGGTGTCGGTTTTTGTGAAAGAAGTTGGTGCTTGACGGGAACAGTCCGTGGTCAGCGCATAGTTGCATTGGGCGTTGTCCGTTATCCGTCCGGGGGGTGGGGGCTGGGGTTACATGTGTACCATCGAGAAGCCTTTCTGATTCGTCCAGGGACCCCACTTGAGCTACTACCACGATGTCCGTTGACCGGGCACTCTGCAGCATAAATGAGAGAGTGGTCCTTGTAGAATTCATCTTTTACTCCAGGTGACCTGCAATCTGTGGGAGCACACACGGATACAACGAATATGCACCGACGCTTCGTTCTGAGGCAGTTGAACCCCGAGTGAACCATCCAGACATTCAGCACACAGTCAGCTGTTAACCGGAATCCAGTAAAGAAGCGAACGCCCGGCCTTGACAATAAGACACCAACAACGCCTCGAGCTTCGGATGATGAACTACCTGATACAAAAAGTGAAGTGTGAGGATGCAGCCGGATTTGTAGATCAAAAGGTGTTGATTGCAGTAGGGTATCGGATGGGTGATTCGGATACACCAGAGACCTAAATTCAAAGTTTCAAGGTTTGGAACTAAGGCAGCCTGTTGACCAATTTGAAGGAAAGTACAGATATCAAATGCATCAAAGTGGAAACAACATTTTGGTTTCGAAAACCTGTTAGCTCCTGATTGGTTGATCTGATTAGTCGACCGCTGATTGATATCCCATGAGTGGTGTGAACAGGAGGCATTTTGTACGATTTCGGAGTGAGGAAGAGAACTGGACAGGTTAGAAAGAGGGTTTTCCACATGAGAAGCTAGGACATAAGAGCACGACATATTTCACGAAGCCCACAGCGACCAAAGTGTTTTTCTATGGAAACCCTGACCGGAGCCTTTCACTAAAAGGTCTAACTCACAAGGCAGCGGGGCGAAGATTCGACGCTGGAGCGTGACCGAAGCGCTCGTGTGTGAGCTTCTAGAGATCTGTCACTCAAGGCCTTCGGGTTTCAGTTCAGTGTGTTGCTCGCTGGTGCGTTCATTGTCATTATGCTGTTCGGGATTGGCCTTAAGTTTCATGTACCCAATGAGACAAACGGAACGGGAACGGGACAGCTCCTTATTGTTTTGGGTTTGCCCAGCTTGGGCAGGTGGTAGTTGTCCAATGAAAGGCGAAAAATTCTCCCACTATCTAGGAGTAGCCCCAGAAACCCCGCTCTTACGTTCATCTAGTTGGGTTTCTGACCAGTAAACTGCCCCTTACCGTGTGTAGTTGCTGGAGTGATCTCTCCAGGCGCGATAGTGAATAGATAAAGGAAGCGACGAGGTGCCCAAGCAGCTAGTCTGTTCAGACTGAGCTTCGTTTGGCCACTATCCATAGACGTTTTAGGCACGATGGGATCTGTGGCTGTGAAGAGCCGTTCTGTATAGGTTGCAAGGTCATGGAGGAGCGCAGGCCATCACACCAGGTCAATCTGCGGCCTCGTTGCCAATGGGACTCCGTCACATGGGTCCCGTTGGGCTCCCCGGATGGGGACCTCGGGATGATCGTAACCGATGGTTAGAGACATTGAGCGATATGGTTGAGTGTCGTAAACAGTGGCGTTGGTGCACCTTCTCAATTTCTTTGCATCAATAGTCCACCGGACCAACACAAGTCATCGGGACCCGACGGAATTCCTCCCATCATCATCATCAAAGTGTGCGCCCTAGAACTGACTCACCTTGTACATTGTTCATCCCCTCTATCCGTCATATTGGGGATATTCCCAACCCTCTGAAAAAAATCAGAAGTATCTTCCATTCCCAAACGCAGTGACCGCTTATTCCCTAATTATCGATTGCTTGGTATATGTAACGTAAGTTATTTATTAGGCTCCGTTGATTGGGCCACGTTTCGCTTATGTTGCATTGTCGCCTGTCGCACCGCGCCTTATTTGCGGTGACCGTTGCAAAGTGGAGAAAGCCACTCGGAAGCCAGCGGGTGGGGTGAAAACGAGGCATGTAGAAATGTACAGAGCGAATAGGTGATAGTGTATGTATGCCCTGGTTGAAGCGCAAAGC